TGGAATGATTTATGGTGAGAAATGTAAAAGTATGTGTTTTATACTTGTGTATGTATATATAATTATATGCTTTGACTATTATGATAATATTTCTCACCCTTCTGCTATTTCATAATGCTCTATGAGGCATTGCAGATTAGGTTGCTGGAGGTCTTTTATGAAGTTTAGCTTCATCTTTTGGTCGGTTATGCTCTGATATGTAGCACCGGGTAGTTAGGATTGTATAGTATTCGTTTGAGATACATTTGTGTGTGTATCTTTTGATAACGTGTTGTAAATAGGAATGATAAGGTGAACCAAACTGAATTATGTATCTAAATGATAACATGTCTTAAGTAATTCAATGTTTTAATCTTCCGCTTTTATTTCTAAATATTGAGTTGTGGGTGTAAGAACTAAGTTCCTCTGTTGAACTACCCCACTGTTGCATGTCTTTTATAGAGCAGGTGATGTATGTTATTTTGGTGAATGATGTGGCATACTTCTTTTATACCATGCTTCAAATTTACTCTGATGAAATTTTATTATGTGATTTATTTTATTTGTTTATTTGGGGGTATAGAAGGGGGTGTTACATTCTCCCCCTAGAACATTAACCACAGTCAAGAGTTCCTCAATCCCTTTAGGGGAACTACGAATGCTCTGATTCCATTCCCGCCATGATACATAGGCACAAGATGCGATTTCTTGGCGAGCATACTTAGAAATAAACCCCTAGGTCTTCCACCCTTAGCAAACAACAATAACACATTAAAACAAGAGGTTCATGTAAAGTACTACATATGTTTAGGATGCTAACACCTTCCCTAGGTTTAACCAACCCCCGAACCTTAGATTCTCTTTTGCTTTGTTTATGCATTGCATATTTTGGGTTATTCACTCTTTTTCCATTTCCTTGGACAAATTAAAGACCGGTGGTGAATAATGATTTACGATTCAAGTTAATCAATAGCTTGATATCTAATTCTCACCGTGACAGGTCCATAGTGGTTTTAGATCTAAGGGTGGTATACACCACTATCACCATGAAAGTAACTTATGATACTTTGCATAACATTCTACATAGTGCTCTCATAGTGGGTCAATCCAGTATAAATATTACTCCTAATATTCATACCTATGTTAAGACTTGATAACTCCTTACCATGATCCATGAGATGTGATCACCAGTCTATCTACATAATAGTTTTAATGCTTTAAGGTTATCCCACTTGACAGTAAAGCTTGACTACAAATACTTTAAGAATAATGTCCTAATGCTTAATGATATCTCATGATTAAGTTACACTTAATATTTCATTAAACAGACTAACTATTCTATGGACTTTATTATTTAAAAAAAACAAATATAATAAAGAAATGTATTTTATTAATAAATAATTCGATACTAATACCAAAAGTATTAGCCTCTAGAACTTACACCATGTTTAAGTGATTTCTCCCTTACTCACTCTCTTTATTATATTCATACCATATGCACCCCATATTTCTGTACATGCTCTGATACCACACTGTCTGGGAGCCTTACATGCCATGAAACCCAGCCTTAATTGCATCGTCCTCAAATAGCCAACCATAGACATAACATAGACTAACAATTAAAACTGAAATTTCATAACAGCAAGGACCGTAGTATGGATCAATGGTCAGATGTTTTCTAATACATAAGATCCTCATTTAGAGGCAGGTGTAGAGCATACTTGCATCTATGGGGGAATTATGATATGAATACAATAACTAAAGCTTTGAGGGAGAAAGAAAAGATTTTTAGAACATGTTTGTTCTTAAGCACACAAGAGAGTTTATTTGTGAATACTTGATGAAAATATGTTACAAAAGCTCTCCTTTTATAGCCAAGAAGGTACACATAGGACAAAAGCAACACTATTTACATACATGGCATTTTTAATACTATATGAATTCCTTTTTCAAAAGTCCGACACACTTATCACTTATGGATTACATTATTGCACAAAAAGACAAAATTTACTATTCATAAACATGCTTGTGATCTTTGAAGGACACTTGTCCATTTAGTCTTTGAAAATTGGTTCATGAGAGGGGGACATATTTTGATTAGATAAATTTCCATTAGAAAAGCAATCTCCATAGAGAGATGACTCAAGCTGCCAGATGTCATCCATCATGTAGGTGTGATCCACTAACCTCATATTAGCTTCTTCCACCAGTCCTTCAGAGAATTCAACTTCCATTGGAGAATCTGGTTTCTGTTGTGTGGCTTGAGTCTAATTTTCTCCAACTTCTAGTCTTCTGAACTTTTCATGATGTATGCAAGTTGAACTATCATCGAGTTTCTTTGGATCATAGAGATTGATATAGTTAACATACTCAAGTAATTCCCTTGTGATTTTTAGATTGGGAGGATATTCATCAATAGTTTCCCATAGGTGAACATAACTCTTACAATTGAGCAACTTAGTTGCAGGATCTATCACATAGGGCCTGTGTAGAAAGAAAATAGATTTAAGTTTACCAATATCTTCTGAAGATAATCTTCGTTCCTTGACCTTGTCGATGACTGGTTTTAATTGATCTCTTCATCATTGTAATGGAGAATACCATTCAAGAGTGGTCTAAATCAAAGACTTGTGGTTCTCAGGATCCATTATATGTTGATACATGGCCTCGGTGGGAATAAGAACAGGCATATAGTACAAGCATGTGGCACACCAAATATACCATAAATGGTTTTTTGTGAACTTAGCATTTGGGTTTATTAAAATTGGTAGGAGAAAAGGTGTATCTGAGAAATAAGGACTATGATCTGGTAGTTTATTCCTTATGATTTTTGTCATGTAATAGAAGAGATTGTTCCTGGCATACTGCCTGAGTTGGGACGGTGAAGAGGATATTGTTATTCCTGGAGGAAGATTCTTGATTTTGGATGCATGGGTTGGTAGTGGTTTGACCATAAGAATTAGAGGGAAAGTGTGCTTGGCTGTGATGATTTGGATGGGTTTCATAGGTCGGAATAGTAGATCAGGGATTACATTTTGGGTTCCTTTGATATATTTTACAGAGAAATCATATTTGGAAAACCAATCTTTGAGCCTAAGAGTTTGAGGATCAGGAGGCATTTTATTTTTGAATTCAAGGATCTTAGGGAAAGAGGAGTTGTCCATCTGGACTTCAAATTGGTAGCCTCTTAGGTGGAAGTCAAACTTTTGGATTCCCATCTTTACGGCAAGGGCCTCTTTATAGGTGGTGTGGTAAGGTTTTTCAGCTTCTTTAAATTGGCCACTAGCATGACCACAATAGTATCTTTTTCCTCCAAGTTCTTCTACCAGGACTCCTCCCCAATAGTGATCACTAGCATCTGTCTGTAGAATTCTTTTGCCATTTCCAGGGATTTTCAGGGCAGGAGGAGTTTGTGCGATCTTCTTCAAAGCTTTAACTGCTTCAGTTTGCTGTGTTCCTCATGGTGGAGGTTTTTTCTTGAGCATTTGGGATAGAAGACTTGTGTATCTTGCCAGTTTCGGCAGGAAATCTCTGATATAATTAATTATACCAAGAAATTGTTGGATTTGCTTAACTGTGAAATTTTCATCAGGAAAGTTTAACAGTTCTTGGGAAATATGAGGCTGAGGTTGATATTTCCCTTGGGAGAAATTCATCCCTAAGAAATCAATTTCTGTTTGTCCCAATTGACTTTTCTTTTCAGAGAGCATCATTCCATGCTGTTGGGCTATTTGAATAAATTGGCCCAATAATTGTTTATGGGTTTTTTCATCTTTTGAGAACAATAGCACATCATCAATATAGATGAGGATACTGTTGAGGATGGGCTCAAACATTCTAGTCATGGCTTTTTGAAAGAGTGATGGGGCTACCTTAAGCCCAAATGGCAACACAGTCCATTGGTACTGGGTGTTAGGAATGCAGAACGTCGTTTTGTAGCGATCCTCAAGGTCGATACCCAATTTCCAAAATCCTAACTTAAGGTTGAACTTAGAATAGATCTTGGCATCTTTGATGAAAACATTTAAGGATGAGGCTTTTGGAATGGGAAGTTTATCATCTTTGAGAAAGTGATTTAGAGGTTTGTAATTAATTACTAGCCTCTTTTTTCCCCTCAACTTTTCAGATCTCTTTTCTACATAGAATTCTTGGCAAGCCCATTCCGATTTGGTGGGTTCTATCAGACCTTGTTTGAGAAGTTGGTTGCACTCTTCCCTAGCTAATGCGTAATCTGATGGACTCATCCTAGATGAGTGGCCTTGGTTGGATTAACATCTCCATTGAGCTTGAAGGGAAGTTGAACGAAGAAGTCTTTATTCTTCCATAGAGGCTTTAGGTGGTGGAATTTTTCATGGTTGTCTGCACATAGTCTGAGAAGGTTGGACTTGATCTTTTCATAGCCAACAGGAATCTTAGAAAGTGAATATAGTTTTAGTATCCCAGAATAAGGTTTGAATTCTCTTTTGAATTTTATTCTTGTAGGGAAAATTTAGAGTTTAATTGATGTTGAGTAGACATTCATTCCTACTACAATATCTTTGTTTGGAAGATTACTGCCAATGACCTTGGTCCAGACTTTGCAGTTTGGGAAGAATTTAATTCCTATTTTCTCCTTGGTCATTAAATATGTCTTGAAAAAATTTCCATCTGCAGCTACAAAGTATGCGGCATGTGTCACCCATGATTCTGCGGGGAGAATGTTGGGATTCATCATTGTAATATGGGCCCTAGTGTCCATATAAGCTATAACTTTCTTCGGACAGGAAAACTTTGTTGCGAGAACATGGACTTCAATACAAGAAAGTGGTGTAGTAGGAAGAGAACTGCCTATCTCTTTGATGGAGTAAACTAGGAGATATCTGTCATCTTCTGACTCTAAAAATGATGATTCATCAGACGAAGAGTCTTGAAGGGCAAAAATTGTTTCTTCATCAGCAGAGCTTTGTTCAGAATACAAAGATTCTAAGTCTCCTTCTAGAGGCTAAAGAAAGTTAATCAGTTTTGTGGCTTTATGGGTGTTATTAGGGCATTCTTTGAGAAATGCCTTTTTTTTTTACAAATAAAGCATCTCTGGTTTTTCCCTTTCCTCTGAAATGCTTTCTTCTAAAGAACTTCATATTATTTCTTTTCTTTCCCTTAAAGGTCTTGTGATATTTGGTGTATTTTTTATGTTTCTTTTTTGTTGGACAGCTACACCTTTTGTCTTTACACTTAATCTCCAGGTAGGGTTTCTTACATGCTTGGGTGAACTTTGACTTCTGTTCTATAACTTCAGAAAATTGATGATGAAAATTGCAGAGCTTTTCAAGTGCTTCTAATGTCACCTGGTGAATCTGGCCAAGACTCATGGTTTTAATATCCTTTTGAGCTGTGGCTAACATTCTATGAATTTTTGGTTGAAGTTCTTGTGGTAGAGATGATACATAGGTATTCTTGAGACTAGGGTCATTGTACCCATTAAGGACATAATACCTATGTGCCATCCTATGGTAGTGTTTGTCGAGGTCTTTGGTTTTGAGAGAATAACACTTCATCTCAAAGAATTCTTGTATGTTTTTCCTATCAAATATTTCCATATCACCGATAAATTCTCGGTGAAGAACCCCAAGAACACTAGCTGTAGTTTCTAGACGATGTAACTCATCTTGTTTGAAAGCTCCAAGATTGTGATACCATTCTTTCATCGTGCCCGTCATTCTACAACAAAATTCTTCAATGATCTTATAGCTATCTGCACTTGTTTTCATCATTTGGTTGGTATATCATCCAAGTTCAAGTAGTCTTATTCTCCAGCAGCTAGGTGGTATATCATCAAAAGTGAACCAAGGACCTCCATTTAGTTTAGTCCTTTCAGGGATAAGAGTTTCTTCAGGGGATTCTTCTTCAAAAAAGGATTCTTCCTCTTTTACATTTACCATGAAGAGTCATGGGAAATAATTGTCTTTAGATTCTGATTTAGTTGAAAAAGATCTTGGTGTCTCATTAGAAGATGATTCTGGATCAGAGTTGTTGTCACCATCTGAGAAGGACTCGTCTCCCTTTTGTTTTGATGATTCAGAGTGATCTTTCCGAGGAGATTCATAATTTGTAGTGATTTCCATGGCTTGGAAACCTTTATTAGGAATTTCTTCTTCCTTTTGGATTTTTAGAGGGGGTGTTTCAGGGATATCTTGAAATTCTGAGGATGAAGCGCTCAAGCAGGCAGCTTTCCCCTTTGTCTTGGAGGTTGAGGTAGTGGTAGGTCTGGAAGATTTTGGTTTGTAAGCTGTAGGTATGCATTTAACTTGGTCTGATGGTGATGAAACATAGGTAGGGTAGAAAGGAGAAGACCTTTATAGTCGTTTGAAATATGTAGGAAAGGTAGGAGGGCCAAAGAAAGATTTTTCAACAGGTTTGGGCTTTCTTTCATGAGAGGCTCTTAAGAAATCATCTATCTCTTTTACTTGGATTTGTAGATTTTTGATTTCTCTTTCCTTTTGGTCAAATGTTTTACCAAAAGCTCTCTCTTCTAACATCTGCCACAAATCCCGATCTAGCTAGGATACTTGGGCTTTCAAGCTTCTATAATGTTTCTGCATTTTTTGGGATAAAACCATGAGATCTTCATCTGTTTCGTCTATTTTTTCAGCAATCTTATCTACCTTTTTGTCAAGGTTTTGGAGAATTCCATTTTGAGAAACCATGTTTTTAGATTTCCAATTCATAACTTCCTCAGCCTAAGTTAAAGGTTTAAGCTTCCCATTGAGCTGGACTTCACTCGGATGAATGAAGGGTTTCGATGTTCTTCCTGTGATTGGATCCATCTTTCTTTCCAAAGCAGTAAATTGTCGGTTGTACTCCGAAGTTGTGGTTGAATACATAAAGCAAGGAATTGGTTGAGCAACAACTGGAGGATGTAGCAGTTTACAATGGTCTATTGGTGACCACATAATAAGAGTTGGATCATCAGGTGGTAACAACCCTTCTCTCCTGAGGATTTTAAGTCCTTCCTCGTAGATATAGTGGGGTTTCTTTTTTCCATGGATTCCTACCCATGGACCATTGTCTGAACCAGATCTCCTTTGAGAAGGTGGAGAGGGTTTATACCTTCCCTTTTTCTTTGTTTTAGGAAGAATGATATCTCGGTCAATATCATCGTCGTGCATCTAGCAGTCACAATCTGGATCACATCTTGTTGGATCAACATCCCAAATGAAGTGACCATCTATTTTATCGGTGTAGATAGGTTTTCCCTCTGTTGTAACAGCATAGGCGGGACACCAATATTCTTTGAGAACTGGTTGGATCATCATTGTCTGGAAGATTGGAGATATTGAGCTCGACCCTTCATCTGGCTTCTTAAAGATCGTCTTGACTGTCTTGTCAAGGGATCTCCTGAAAGTAGCCTCTTGAGATTGGATAGGTCTTTTGTCAACATGAAGTCTCTCGTAGTTGGTTATCCATTCAAGGGGAGTTAGCTGAGTTAATTCTTCCCTTGTGGGCTTTCTTGGAATCTGAACTATGGAGGTTATGTTTTCTTCTCTATTGGTGAAAACTAAGGGTGAATCAGAAGAGCATCCTGAGAGAGGAAGATCTATCGAGTGATTTTGTAAGCGGTATATTATCTGGTGATGGAGGGTAGCTGACATAGCTTCTGGCACTTGATCATATCCGGTGATTTGGATATGTACTTTCAGTCTTGTGGATAAAGTATTATCATTAAGACTCACGTTATAGTCTGGGAAGATGGTGAGGACAACACTTCCTGCATGAAGTGTAGTTAGAACAATTCTTATCACAACATTTTTATAGTGGAGGTAGCTGGAGCCAGTAGAGCTATTTTACAAAAGACGGGTTGGTTCTTCCTTCTATGAAGAGAAAGGATGAGTCTGACAGCCCCAAAGTGTAAGGCTGTATATCCTTCAGTTTTCCTGTGGTTTATGAGATATTGGGAAATCTCCAGATCTACGTACTGCTTCTGGTTTGTAGCTCTTAGGTTACATTGGTTTAGTCTAGATGACTGGACGTATTCTTTCATATGAGGGAGATTTGTAGAGATAAGATGCTTCTGGTTTATAGCTCTTAGGTTACATTGGTCTAGTCTAGATGACTGGACGTATTCTTTCATATGAGGGAGATTTGTAGAGATAAGATTTCAGATGGATCTGATATCACTTCTTTGTCTTTTGAAGATGTTGTACAACATCTTCAAAAGACAAAGAAGTAATACCAGATCCATCCGAAATCTTATCTCTACAAATCTCCCTCATATGAAAGAATACGTCCAGTCATCTAGACTAGACCAATGTAACCTAAGAGCTACAAACCAGAAGCAGTACGTAGATCTGGAGATTTCCCAATATCTCATAAACCATAAGAAAATTGAAGGATATACAGCCTTACACTTTGGGGCTGTCAGACTCATCCTTTCTCTTCATGATGCCACATACCTCAAAGAATGACAAGATATTATTAGTTTTAATTCCCTTATATGCATAAATTTTACTCCTTATTACCTTGAATTATGCTCTTTGATAAAGAAATCCATGATAAAGAATACCATTGTAAATAAACTTATTTTCTTAAGTAAGGTATATAAACATTAAAAATACAAAATATATACACGTGAATATATACAATATACATACAAAATACTAAAAGCTAACCTAGAAATACAATAATACATATATAAGAATACATATACAAGAATACACACAATATACACACAAAAATATGAAACATATTAAGCTTTGAAATTAAAATGGCTAACCAAAGTCTACCACACACGTCATTAAGTCTATAAACATCTAATATCACTCTATTATAATACATCATTGAATAACAAAAGACACTCAACAAAAAAATAGTGCACATGAACTTACCTCAATGATAAAGATAGAAAACAATCTTTACGAATCCCAACCTTCTCATGCAATTCATTATTTCCTTCCTCAATCAATAGAATGCACAATTTATAGTTTTAACCTTGGAATCTAATAAAGACAAACCTTTTTGGAGACAATATTGTCTATTCTCTTATCTTCTTCAAAATTGTGTTTACTAAATTCTTAAATTTTTTTTTAAAGTTATATTAAAGAATCAAACATATTTAATATTTAATTAATTAATTTTATTATTTAATTTTTAACTTAGTAATTCTACATATACCTTAGTTCAATCATTATCTAAATTATTCATTTTAATTCTATTTATAAAAAAAAAATTCAGATAAAATCAATGTATATAACCATATATAATAGGATCGATGGTAGTATTTATTAGAAAATGGGTTTTCATCAAATATAATAAACAATTGATTTTCTGTTAAAATTTTGAGTCACAAATGTAATATTTAAGGTGTTAGTGTTATTATTTTAATTAATTAAGATTTAAAAATGTCTAATTAATATAATATTAAGTTTGTGAAGTCGTGAAAGGATAGATTATTGTGTATATACTATAAGTCAATATCTAATTTGATGAGGGACCAAATTAGAATATTGAAAATTAAGAAATAATCTTAGGGTTATTTAACTGGGTTATGGTCCCCGTTTGTAGAGAACGATAAAAATAAAGTTTATGAGGTTTTCTCTCTTCATCTCCATCAGAGGAGATTCAAGAAACCATGCGAAGATGAACGAATGCTTAACAACCGTTGATTTTTTTTCCATGCACTGTGATTTCCACAAAATGATTAGTGTTTTGCGTTAACTTTTGACCTTTTTGTTGGTGCAGGTTAAAAGTTGTAAGAAAGAATTACAAAATGACATCTACCATTATTCTATTTATGCACAGAAAAGTAGGGCCACATAGGCAACATACTAAAGTACTAAATTACCCTCTAATAAAGCTTAGTCACAAAGTTTTGTAAAGTATAAATTATTTCTAACACCATCCCTTGATTTATATTTACCAAAAACTAACAACATCAATTTCATCCCTTAAGCAAAGAAATTGATCGGTCTTGATAGTCTTCGTCAGAACATCTGTCAACTGCTTTTGGGTGCTACAATGCACAACTTCTAGCACTCTATTCTGAACCTGATTTCTCCGAAAGTGATACTTAGTCTCAATATGTTTGCTTCTCCCATGCAGCACTGACTTTCTGGCAAGATTGATTGAAAACTTGTTATCAATCATCAGCTTTAGAGGCTTGTTAACTTTGATCTTCAGATCCCGCAGTAAGTTCAGACTCCACATGTCATACCCCAAATTTCTCCTGCATGTATATTACTCTCATCTTTATTTCCATCCACTAACCATTATTCTAAAAAATAAAAATAAAATATGTTGTTGTCTTCATTTTTCTTGTTGTCTTAAGTCCAAGTGTTAGGTAGAGTGTCAGGTCAGTAGTGGATACAGTTCATCTGGTTTGACTTAAGTTTGGTCAGAGAAGTTTGGTTTCAATTTTGGTTCAGAGGAGAAGTCAAGTTTGCTGTCCAGTTCAAGGATCCAATGGTCAAAAGGTTTCATAGTGGAGATTTGGTTCAATATAATTCAAGTGACTAATTTCAAGACTCGTTCAAGTTTGATTCATTGATTCAGAACTGTCAATCTATTCAAGACCAAGATTTTAATATTGATTTTATTTTTCAGAGAATTAATTTAAGATGCTAGTGAAGAGCTCATAGTAGCCAGGATTGGTTTTCAAGTGATGGATTGGTAATTAACAAAAAAAAGTTTGGAATTTGCCTACAAGTGGGTTTAAGCCTAACAT